AATTGAAATGATCTCTCTGATTGGAGTAGAGTATTCTTACTCTTTCAGGAGCATTGGGTGGCCAAATGGTTTAATGCATGTTCTTTAGATTATAAGGGGGGGGTGGATGGCCGAATGGTTAGCACGCGCGTGCTGTATCATACGGTCTGTCATTGAGTCCAACCTTGTGGGTTTTCTCCAGGTCCTCCAGTTTTTTCCCACTGTTAAGAGACACCTCTGTGCAAGTGAATTATTGAAATCAAATTGAACCGTATGTTAGTTCAGAAATTACCTAGTCTGTGTTGAGTGGTCGTTAAACACAATTTTTATCTCTCTCTCTGGCTAAATCTTTCTAGCACACCTTATATCGCTTTTTGGGCATTTGGATAGAGTTCATGTACCGATATCTAAAACAATCCATTGATAAAAAGTTGCTCTCAATGATAGAAATAGATACAATTTATAAGCTTTGGATTTTGGAAATTGAAAATCAGTTATAATTTGAAGAGAACATTTCATGACTTTTGGCATCAGATTATGCATGCTTATTAGAGACTATTATTAGGTACTATTATTAAACTATTATAATTTAGATTACTTAATTTTTTTAAAAGAAAAGGTTTTTGTTGAATAAATTATGGTATGACTTTACTTTAAAAGTGGGTATAAGTTATTTTTTGAAATAGTTTAGAATTTACCATAATTTAAAAGTGGGTATAAATTATTTTTTGAAACAGTTTAGAATTTACCATAGTTTAAATGTTGGTATAGGTTAGAATTTGTCATAGGTTAAAAATGGGTGTAAGTTATTTTGGGAAACAGTTCGAAATTTACCATAGAGGGTATAAGTTATTTTTCGGAACAGTTTACAAATTAATATAGTTTAAAAGAGGGTATAAGTTATTATCATTGTAACTTAATAGAAAATGATCCATAATAAAAATAATAACATAATATATTGTGAGGATAACAAATTGTGTGTTGAGTTTTATATTATAAATTTCGAAGCTCACAAAATAATCTGAGTTGTTTGTTTTCACAGGTTCAAGTTCTATCAAGGATACAGCTTGCCAGGCTACAAGTATCATAGGACCAACAACGGGAGTATACATCGGAGGATTACCCCCGGATTTCGTTATCAAGAGAAATGACCAAAGAGCTAGTGTAATTAATTCAGGATTTTTACGATTTTTAGAACTATTCTATACAGGCTTTATAAACACACGATCGTACTCAGATTTCTGGTTTAAATCAACAGAAGCATTTTAGATTTTAGTTGAATGAGTTTAGACAGGTGGGTGGGGTGTGCGAAGAAATACTTTTAAAGAATTTAATCCCATTCTAGGTAAAATTTAAGAAATACAATACAGTAAATAAAGAGAGTCCTTATGATGTTCTGACACTTGGTTTCGGAGGTGGAGTGCGAAGAGGTATTTTCAAAGAATATGATCTATTCTACAAAAATTTAAGAAATGAATTAAATAAAGAGGGTCTTTTTTGGACAGAGGTTGGTAGGGTTGGGGGGATGTTGCTAAGAGGTTTATTAAGAGAATATTATTGCATTCTAGACAAAATTTAAATAATACAATAAATTAAAATAAATTAAGGTCTTTAGGATATTCCGCACCAAGTTTCGGATGGAATGAAAAGTCTGTAGTTCCTTGCATATCATTAGTAACTAGATTTTAATCCACTGACATCTGAAAATTGAAATAAGAGTAGGATGTAGCGAGGACAAAATATTCCTTGTATCACATTGGTTTTATTACGTTTGTTGGGACAAGTAAGCCATTAAAACCTATTTTCATTTACGATTGGGAGTCAGTACTGAATAGACTTGGTTGGAATCACAATAACTTCCGAATGAAAATAGAAAATCTTATTAAATGATGTGAAAAGTAATTTTGTTAATAATCATTTCATTTTCAATTGATAGTCATTGCTGAGTAGACTTGGTTAGGAATCACAAGAATTTTAAAATCAAAATAGGAAATCTTATTAAACATGCAAGAGCTAAATCTGTCTATTGCAGGTCTTCCTTTAGGCCTGAAATGTTATATAAACTATTAATTAGACATTAATTAACTTATTCAAACCATAATCAACTCTCGAAATCATCTAAAGTGTTGGAATTTCACTGGAGTTGAATCTGATCTGCTGCTCAACGCTCATTGATGATTAAATCCAAAAATTGATAATCGAGGCTAATGTTTTATATCGTACCGACTTTAGTAATGATGATCGAGGTTAGGCTTAAAATTCAAAGACTAATATCTCGGTTCAGATTAGATCAATTTGACTGAAATTTTCAACATATTCTATTTAAAATATCTAGTTTTTTACTATTATAGCGAGAACAGTCAACTCTTTATCTAATCTCTCATAATGTATGTTTAAATGATGTGATAAGTCTCTGATCGTTATTTGGGGACATTGTATCCCTCACTAGCTTCAAAACTGTGAATATTGAAACTCGAAATGAAATACCATTTTAAAAATTTGGTTCAGTACCTAGATGATGAATTGAAAATTTATCAACATTTGGCATCCACTTGCAGACTATATGATATTTAGCATATCGTCAAAAAAAATCCAGTACCAACTTTTGGATAGGCCTTTTTTTTTAATTTGATTAAATTCAAGCTTGAAGATTATCTACCGGTACAATAGATATTTCGATTTAATTTTCTTAATTAAATTTTAAATATTCAATTTGAGTATATGTAAGGCAGGACACTACTTTAGTTATAAAACACTCTGTATAGACTGATGATCTGTCAAATTTTGATATCAGCTAAAATTGCCCAATATAGTCAAAATTTGCTGATTTTTCAAGTCGTGTCCAGCCTTCATATTATATAGTGCTGAAATTTAGTCATTTATATAGGTAAATCAAACTTTTAACTTGCTTTTTTCCGTATTCAATTTTTCACCCATATCAGGTCTTAGAAAATCAAACTCTCAAAATCTATGAGAGATAATGGTCTCATCTTTGGAATACAATTAGTGAAAAATTAAATATCATCTGAAAAATGTAAATGAGGATCAGTGACTTGAATTAAAAGTTTTTGCCTGTATATTATAGTTTTAAAAGATTTCACCAACTCCTTGGATTCATTTCTTTATGGAGATGATTTCTAGACAGGAAATTATTTTATCTTCTCTAATTCTATTTAACGTAATATTTAATCTTTTTTTTTTAGTTTAAAAACATATGTCAGGTTCATTAGTAACTGCATCCCCCACAATGTCGAGCAAACCTAATTCAAAATCGTGTAAGATAATCTTGTTCGCGATAGGTACTGGACTCTAGACAAGAATGTCCCAATTTCGAATCCTTCCGACTTATAAAGGGTAGCAGCTGCAGGGGGGTACAGGAAAAGTGTGGCCTAGTCATTTGGATGGGACAAAAAACGATACCCACATTCAACATGTTTAAACACTGGAGTCCATTGTTAAGGGGAGTGGTTTCCCCTTGTCAGTGATGCAGGATGGAGGACCTGACAAGGACAGCTGTCTAGTCATTCGGATGCTACGAGAAACCGAGGTCCCATGTACATATTAGAGTGCACGTAAAAGATCCCTTGGCAGTTGGAATTTGATATAAGAATAGGCCGTAGCGCCGCTACCCGGGCAAAATTTCCCTCATAGCACACTGTATGGCGTATGCCCGTCTTCATTAGCCCAGTTTAGGAGCAGAACAGTAGGACGTTAAACCCCATTTCATTTCATTTCATTTCATTTCTATTGTTAAGGAACTGACACCTGTAATTTGAAGATTATGCCGCTGCTCAGGCTAAAATATCCTTCTTAGCATTTTAAATTAGTCTCAAAATGACCATAGTGTTTTGTTGATGAGACATCAGAACAATAAAACATTGGACAGACATTACAAGCTTTCAGTGGGCATTGGGTGGTCTAACCCTTACACTTTAGATCATAAGGTCTGCCATTGAATCAAATGACATGGTTTTGATCCCACCCTTAACTTCATGGGTTTTCTCTGGGTCGTCTGTTTTGCTCCCACTGCTAAAGACGTGCACTTACAAGCGTACTATTGAAATAAAATCATACGATATGTTTGTCTGTCTCTCCATGGATAAGATTGTCATCATTTAACTTTATTTTAGATTTCAAAGACAGGATTTCAAGGTTGTATCCGAGATATTGAAATATTACAACAAGAATCACCGTTTGAAGTGTGGAAGAAACTTGAATGGACAGATGCCGTAGCCAATGAACTGGCTTTTCTTAATTGGGAAGGTTGTCCCGTTAACTTAGACAAAGGAATTCATTTCTTAGGTCAAGGTAAAATAACTCACAAATAAGTCTGGATGTTTTATTGTTAAAAACCAGATCGGGTTTACCCCTGGTTTCCATTATTTGCATTTCCTTCTGCAAACTCCCCATGTTGTTCCTAAGACTGCCATAAACTATCCAAGATATATGAATAGCTTTCTGTATTAAATACAGGACCATTTATTAGTTTGTGGGGAGCGCCACTGCTGTGTACATGACAAGGTAGTCTAAGGCGTCCTAGTTTTCAACGGTCTAAGTGCGAACAGGTTGATGGGCATTTAGTAACTGGAATAAACTATAACACATACTTATGGAAGAACAATAAACCATAACACATACTTATGGTTGAATAATAAACTATAACACATACTTATAGAAGAACAATAAACTATAACACATACTTATTGAAGCATAGGGTTCAACTGAAAAACTCCCAGAACAATTACTAATTTATTTGGACTTTTCGCTGCCACATCTCCATATTGATAATTCTCAGTACGGTAATTAGTCATTGTTCTTCCAAAATGTATGTGTTATAGTTTATCAGACCATCCAGTTACTAAATGCCTTGAAACGATTATTAACATGTGGCCGTGAAAAGCCCAAATTGTTCTCCATATAGTTTATTATTATTTTTACATGCCACGTTATTGCAGGTTACGCTAAACTTCCTTATGATGCTAGATCACTGATTGGTGGAGATGATGTAGAAGTCTCGTTTCAATTCCGTACAGCTTTGCACACAGGGATGTTATTCTTCACCTACGGAGGAACCGGTATATACATGTATGCAGGTGTTGTTAACGGCACCCTGTACTTCGAGTTCAGCAATGGAGTCTCGAAAGGCAGTGCAACCTACAATAACCCAGATTCTGTGTTTTGTGATGGTAACTGGCGGTCGGTTTATCTGCGTAAGAAGGGTCTACAGGCCAACCTGACCATTGAGGGTGTTGGAACTGTTTTAAATGGAGATCCTGACACCGTCTTCACTGTTCCAACAGCTTCTGAAATTTTTGTGGGAGGAATTCCGAAGAAATCTGAAGTATTACTGTTCATGGAAAATAGCGCCCCAAATTTACCAAGAGAAAGTAAGTTAGAGCATTACATCTATCCAAGTTACCCAAGACAAGGTGGTGATTTCCTTGAAAATAATTGAGCATTTACAACCCTTTGAAGAGCTGTAATTGACAATCATGTAAATTCCCCCAGGTTCACAATTAGAAATGAAATGAAATGGGGTTTAACGTCCCACTATTCTGCTCTGACTGAGCTAATAAAGATGGGCATACGCCATACTAAGAGGGAAATTTTTCCCCGGGCAGTGGAACTATGGCCTACTTATATATTGAATTCCAACTGCCAAGGGATCTTACACGTGCATGATGGGACCTAAGTTTTTTTTTTGTCTAATCCGAACGAATAGACAGTTTTCCTTGTCAGGACCTCCGTCCTGCACCACTGACAAGGTTAAACCACATTGGAAAATCCCATTGAACTTCCTCGGCCAATCCGGTTTCCTCCCACTGCTAAAGACCCCTACGCGCAAGCGAATTATTGAAATAAAATTAAACCATGTGTTAGTCCTGAAATGACATAGTTTGTTTCGAGTGGACGTTAATTAAACCCCATTTCTCTCTCTCTCTCTTTCTTGGACAATACAGGGATCGCACACACGCGACCTCCAGGCTAGTGAACAACCGTCTTACCCACTTATCCACTGTGGCTCCCTGGTTCACAATCAAGTAAATAGAATAAAATGATTATCTTATAATGTTATAATGACATATTTTATGCTATATTTATAGGTTTTGGTGGATGTATAGCGTTGTTTGCTGTGGACGGAAATAGATATGATTTTGGTAAAGATGCTACACAGGTGGTGAATGTTAATATGGACGGCTGCGCCCCGTTTCAGGTGCCCAATAATACGTGTCAAGATAGATTAATAACGGAAGTATATAATGGATACGATACACAGACGTTTGATACAGGATTACAACCATATACAGGTATTATTCTATTCTTCTTCCTTGATGGGATGCCTGTCCAACCTCATGGGTTTTCTCCGGGTCCTCTGGTTTCTTCCCACTGCTAAAGACTCCTACACATTTCTCTCTCTCTCTCCTTGATGGGATGGGGAGTACATTTTAGATCATACGGTCTGTCATTGAGTCAAGTGGTGTGGTTTCAATCCCACACTTGTTTGTGATAAATAGTAGGGTGGCCTCCCTAACATCGTGGATTCTTGTATGTGATAAATGGAAGGTGGGCCTCCCTAACATCGAGGATTCTTAATTTGTATGTGATAAATGGTAGGGTGTCCATCCCTAACATCGAGGATTTTGTATGGGTCCTTTGGGGAAAATTCACCCATGTGACCACGTTTTTGAGGTATTTTGTTTTAGTCTAGATTAGCAAGAGATATTTTCCGAAGAATATGACAATTTCTTAGCATTATCCAAGATGTATTATGTATTTTTATTGTTTTAGACATAGCAAATTTTAATTTAACCCTGTCTTCATTAGCCCAGTCGGAGCAGAAGAGTAGGACGTTAAACCCCATTTCATTTCATTTAACTGTATTTATTGTGTTTTGTGGTTGAATTCATTTTAATTTGATTTCTATGGCATGTAAATTGACTAACATGTCAGATCTCCAGCTGGTCTATTTCACTGTCAGTCCGGCATCAAGTCTGGTAAATATGATTGAAACAGGATCCCTGACTTAAATACTCCCAGAGAATCAGGAACCAGGAACTGTGTGCACCCAAGCGTTACTCATCTTGCTATTCTTGGGGGTGATGCTCTTCAAAGAAAAAGCCCCAGACACAATTCATGTACAATCGACATAAGGGGGGTTGGGAGGCTGGATAGTTAACGGATTGTGCGTCTATCATAAAGTCTGTCATTGAGTCAAGTGGCTTGGTTTCGATCCTCCACTTGTACGTGACTACGGTAGGGTTGTGTTTCCAACCACATGGGTTTTCTCTGGGTCTTTCTCACCCTGCTAAAGACCCCTTCGCATAATCAAATTATTCAAATAAAATTGAAACATATTTTGTTCTCGAAATAACCTAGTTTGTGTTAAGTGGACGTTAAACCTCATCGATTTGTACTACATGTTTTTATTACATTTATTTTTGTCTCCAGATTATATATATCGAGTAACAGCTTCGAATTCCGTTGGATTGGGTAGCGGACCGTGGGCATATGGTCGAACTAAAGAAGGAGGTAACTATGTATATAATGTTAGAAGAATAGAAAATATCCCATGTAGTCTAGCTCAGCAAGTCTATAAAAGATAACATTTATTTTATTTTTCGCTATAGGAACTTATAAATTTTAAAATGATTTCATGTAATAGCCAGTATTTACAAGAAAGTTAATTGTGTTACATGTATTTAATTTGTATTTATTGTAGTATTTATTGATGGAATTGACAATTTATGATTCTAGTGTTATGGCCATACAAGCAGTAATATATTAACAATTTAGAAAGTTCCATTTAATCAAGCTGGTATCCTGCGATACACATATACACAACCTCACATACATAATGTTGATAACTTTCTATTGTATTTATCCAGCTCCTACTGGTGTGAAGGAACCATTCAACGTTGAGGCCCTGTCAGGTTATATGATACAAGCTGAATGGAACAAACCCGCCAGCACTTCAGGATTATTATCCAAGTTTATTTTAGTTGGTTACGTCAACGAGAACGACACAATTGCTCCGATACAGACAGAGTTCCTGGATACAGATTCTAGAGCAGGTTAGATCATGTTCTGCATCCTGTCAGTAATTGGACTCTAGTTTCCTATATCCTGTCAGTAATTGGGCTCTAGTTTCCTATATCCTGTCAGTAATTGGGCTCTAGTTTCCTATATCCTGTCAGTAATTGGGTTCCAGTTCTCTATATCCTATCAATTATTGGGTTCTAATTTCTTATATCCTGTCAGTAATTGGGTTTAGTTTCTGTTATTCTGTCAGTAATTGGATTCCACTTTTCTATATCCTGTCATTAATTGGATTCCACTTGTCAGTAATTGAACTCTAGTTTCCGTTATTCTGTCAGTAATTGTGTTCTAGTTCCCTATATTCTGTCAGTAATTGTGTTCTAGTTTCCTATAACCTGTCAGTAATTTGGTTTTCTATATGCTGGCCGATTAAATCAACTGTTTCGTAAACATACAGAGAGAGAAATGAGGTTTAACCTCCAATCAACCAAAACTAGGTAGAAAGAAAATTCAAATGGCGCAAAGGGACCAATTGTTGAACTCATTACACTCCTTTCCTTTATTTATTCGGATGGGACGAAAAACTGTGGTCAGCCCGCTCACTGCATTAGGCCAGTTGGTGCAGAAAAGTAGGACGCTAAACCCAGTAGTTTGCCCTTGATCAATATATACATCATGTTTTATGTTCATGAAGAATTCTTTTAATTTTGTACCTGTTCAATAATTACTGACAGAGTTACAACCCTTGGATCATATAGAGTAGTAAATACTTATACAAGGTAAAAAAAAGTAACGGGGCCAAGTCGATGTACACTAGTTTTCATGTCTCTTAAAATATACTAAAACAAAGTTATCTCAAGATCTGTAGTTAAATCTCATTGTTAAATCTCATTTCATTTCATTGCTTGTGGCCATGAATGATCTATCTATTTTCAAGACTTGTTCAGTCTTCATTTAAATAAACACAACATGATTTATCTGGAATGCAATCGTTGGTTGGTACCGATTCCATTTGTTTTAATTTTGTGATACTTCAGGAGGAGCCACAGTTGCTAAGTGGGTAAGACGCTGGCTCACTAGGCCGTAGGTCGCATGTTCGACCGAGAAAGTTCATCAGGATTTTCCCACGTGTATTCCCATTGTCAGCTGTCTAGTCGTTTGGATGGTATGAAAAAAAAGGTCCTGTGTATACATTGGCATGCACTTAAAAGATCCCTTGGCAGTTGGGGTTCAATATATGAGCAGACCAAAATTTCCCTCATAGCACACTGTTTGCCGTATGCCCCTCTTCATTAGCCCAGTTGCATGTTCCTGAAGCAACGACTGCTAGTTTCACAACATCTGTCCATTGCTTGTTTACTTCACAATTTCCGAACTTATAGCTATGTTATCTGCAGACACGTGACAAAGGTTGTGACATCGCGACCTCCACGGAAACCTTGACATTGAATGAACCAACTTTGCAACTCGATTATCACAGGTACACATTTTAGCTTGAAGGCGTGAGACTTGGTATTCGCGATGATCGAGGAATCTGATAGGCTCACAAGTTGTGCTTGTACCCAATCGAAATTAGTGCCGCAATATGCAGGGTATTACGTGAAGGCCTTGATAAGATGTATGTAGTTAAAGCGAGATCAAGCCTTCTATTGAAGATGGCCAAGTCGCGGCTGAACAGTGCGACCAATTTCATTTTATTTGAATATTTCAGGAAATTTAACGAATGCTGTTCCGTATACTAGTTATATTATAAAACTATCAGCTTGTACAGCAGGTGGTTGTACGGAGAGTGAAGATGGTGTTCCAGTTATGACACTTTCTGAAGGTAAAATATTTTCTATTATTAAAATTTATACATTTAAAGTGGCTGAGCGTCGTTTACATTTTTTAGAAAATTTCATGTGTAATGAATCGCTATATAAATCGAACAATAATAATAATAATAATTTTTCATGTCTTTGTTCACATTAAAATTTAATTAAGAAACAAAAATAGATATACTTTAGTTGCTTTTTTCAAAAGGTTTTAGGTCCAAACTTTTATGTTTTGAAATAAATACGACACATGTTGAGAATATATATTGTTTTTTTTCTACAGCTCCAGAAGAAGTGCCAAGTCTGACTGCAATTCCTTCTACGACATCATTAGCGATTTCGTGGAATGAGCCTGGTAAACCTAACGGCCCGTTATCAGGTTACTATCTATATCAAGATAACGTACAGATCTATCAGGGCGGAGAACGATTTTATCAACTTAACAATTTACAGGTCAGTACGCAGCATAGACATAAGGGAGACCAATCTCACTTGGTGCGGGTGGGGGGGGGGGTGATTGGATGCTTGATTAGGAGCACACTACGACGAATTGCTCATTATTAAGACAAAAATCAAAAACGTCCATTTTCACTGTTGACGGTGTGTATCTCTTTGCGAGTGAAATGGGGCCGTCAGATAAGCCGCCCATATGAACTGTTTATGTTCATGGGTAGGCAATTGGCCTGTTATTAACATACACTGGTTACCTCTAATAAAAACAGCAGTGCATTTCTGCAGTTTTGTATTATTTCTGAATATCCCCTACTTTTTTTGAAGAGTATATATTCAACTTTCACAATATTGTAGTTTGCTAAGAATTGAAAATCCTGCAATGACTTTATATAATGATTGATTCCAGACATGAAACCCCCGTTTTAAATATTAAATAAATAGATGTGGTTGATTTCAGGTTTATACGTCATACCAGTTTTTTATACGAGCTTGTACTAGTTCTGGTTGTAGTAGTGGACCTATTGTAACCTTGACAACATCACAACTACCACCAACCTCCGTTAATCCTCCCGTTCTTAAAGTTCTAGGTAAGATTAATTCAGATTGTTGGATTTATGTAAAGACCATATTATAGCAATCTGGTTAAAACACAGATCCTATTTAGTTTAGTTTTTTATAGTTCAAAATTTCATTTTACTTGTCTTTACTACACTAGGATCTGGTTATCATTGTCGTGTTCTGGCTGATGTGAGGGATTAACCAATGAAACGGTCTGTTACGGCGACTTCTTGACGTGCCATGCACGGAAATGTGGGTAAACCATTAGAAATGTCAACGCTTATTGATTAATCAATGTCTGAGGTCATAGGGTCAAAAGCAGCTAGTACGACCCCTGACACGACCTTCGAGTACAACTTGTCAGATCTTCTTGTAGTGTAGGCCATTGAAACGAAATATAGATCTGTATTTTAATCAGATTGGTTGTCTGTGAGTAATAGAAGCAAATTAATGTTGTGTACCTGTGGTGAAGTATGTGAGGGGACAGTTTTGCATATAGCTGTGGGAAAGTATGGGAGTAATAAGAGCCAATTGATGTTGTATATCTGTTGGCAAGTATGTGGTGAAGTATTTGATATATATGGTGGCGTATGTGGTGACATATGTGATGAAGTTTTTGAGAGGGCACATTTTGCAAGGACAGTGGCATTCCCGTGTACTTTTCTTCTGGGCTAATGAAGACAGGAGCATATCCCATATGAAGGCTTCTTTCATATGTACATGTGACCTTGGTTTTTTGTCCCTCCCAAACAACTAGACACTGTTCCTTGCCAGGCACTCTGTCCTGCACCACACTGAAAAATCCAAAGTAAATTTCTCGGCTAAAACCAAGATCAAACCTGGGACCTCCTGGTTAGTGAACCAGCGCCTTACTCACTTAGCCATCATGGCACCAGTAAAGCAACAATATCCTGTTTTATAATATATTGATATTTATTATCAGGTACAAAGAAGATAGAAGCCAGATGGGAGACACCAGCTCAAGTTAACGGAGCGTTAGAGAGATACGTCCTACATCTGTCAACAGATGGCAGCATAGGAGAAGACATTTATAACAATACAGAATTATTCTTATTTACAACTTTAGCTAATCTTACAGCAGGAACACAATACTTTATACGGTTGTCGGTAAGTGGGACATTAGAATATGGACAGCATATAGGGTCATACATGGCTTTAATTGCTTCAATTTTGTACATTAATTACAAACTTTTCCACTCTCCATAACAGCATATAATAATGATATGCTGTCATTTTATTATTTTATTTGGTTGATTTGTAGGCATGTACTGGAGGAGGTTGTACTATGAGTGATGTTGTTAATGCTACTACAGAAGAAAGTGCTCCAGAAGGCTTACCAGATCCTATAGTTACCTCCCCTTCCTGGGCTGAGTTAGAAGTTACGTGGGGTGAGCCTGAACTACCAAATGGTTAGTATGAAATTGCAAACATAGTCTTTTGGCATGAATTGAATTAGAGATGAAATGACCTTTGATTTGCAAAATTTCAGATATTTACCAGCAGAACAGCTTTATTTATCTTTATCAGTTTGAAATTACAAGTTCACTGTACAAAGAGTTATCCCCACTTTAGTGTGTCATGGGAGATAATTTAACCTTTCATGGATGCAGACCACCAACTCTTCTCGTTGACTTTAATGTTATAGTTAATTCTTATCTCTATTCCATGCTCTAACATTTTGCATGATTTATGTTGAGCTGAACCATTTCTACCACAAAGCATGTTTGAGGTTTACCATGGAATTTGGGATACACAAATTGAAAGTAGCATACTTTAAATATGTACTGTAACTATCCGCAATGCATATCCCCTTAACCAACCTCTTAACTCTGGGGGGGGTGGATGGCCAATGGTCAGCGAATGTGTGCTGTATCATAAGGGCTGTCATTGAGTCAACTGGCTTGGTTTCAATTCCCCGGTTGTACGTGAAAAGGTCGCCTGTCCAACCTTGTGGGTTTTCTCTGGGTCCCCTGGCTTCCTCCTGCTAAAGACCCCTACGCCCAAGCGAATTATTGAAATTAAACCATATGTTAGTCTCGAAATGACCTAGTATGTGTTGAATGGACGTTAAACTCACTCTCTCTCTCTCTCTCTCTCTCTCTCTCTCTCTCTCTCTCTCTCTCTCTCCTTAACTCTTGTTATTCTTTCGCTTCCAAACCATGTATTTTCACCAAAATCTGAATTCAAACACTGTTACTCAGTCAGTGCATGTACTGTAGCTCAAATCCCCTTATTCTGTCCCCTTTTCACTGAATTATCACTATTCATGGAATTGAGAGAACTCAATTTTGGATGTTCTGACTTGTATCCCCAGAGTGTTACCTAGTTTCCATGCCGACACCCAAGTGTGCTAGTAATATTTTATCTTATATAACAGGTGTAATAGTACGATATGAACTATACCATAATAGCATCATGGTTACCAGTGGCTTGACACGTGAATATCGTGTAGACAACCTTCAACCCTACAGTTTACACATCATACAAGTTAAAGCCTGTACTAGTATAGGCTGTGGATACAGTAATGAAGTCAAGACTAGAACTCAAGAGGCGGCACCAGAAGGAATTGTAACTTTAGAAGTTGTGGGTCTTGATCCGAGATCTGTAAACGCAACATGGACCGCCCCAGAGAAACCGAACGGACATCTGTATTTTGATGTTTATTTTGACGGAATATTCTACAAGGATGCTGGTATGTATATTTAACAACTGTAATCTTCAACTTTTGTTTTCTCAATCGTGAAAATTTTAAACTAAAATGTTTTAAGGATGCAGCCTATTCATTGGTGGAGGGTTAAAATGTTGGGTCAAAAAAAAAAATGAGGTACTGTGTATACCATTGACAACACATTCAAGATCCTCTGACATTCGGAATAAGGGAATTGGTTGTAGTACTGCTATCAGGCAAAATTTCACTCATTGCACACTGCATTGGATGACCGAATGGTTAGCTTATACACGTTTTATTATGAGGTCTGTCATTGAGTCAACTGGTGTGGTTTTGATGCCCTGGTTGTACGTGTGGGTTTTCTACGGGTCCTCTGGTTTCCTTTCACTATGTGCAAGCGAATTATTGAAATAAAATTGAACCATATGTTAGTCCTGAAATCTCTCTCTCTCTCTCTCTCTCTCTCTCTCTCTCTCTTATAATGAGTCTCTTTATAACCCTGGCCCCGAGTTCACAAAGCATTCTCAGACTTAAGTTGAGAATTTACTCAAACTTGTTCACCTTATTTTAACTAAAATATAGCCCTTTATAATAATTTTATTGTTTGAATGTATCAGATACATCAATAAGAAACTATGTGCAAAGTTTTGTATTTCTGCATCAAAGATATTTGTCATAAACAGTGATTTAAAGTTGAGCAAATTCTCAACTTAAGTCTGAGAATGCTTTGTGAACTCGGGGCCAGGTTGATACAAAAGAATAGGATGTTAAACCTCATTTCATTTCTGGACATTTCCTTTCATTCATTGTTTCTTATAGTTAGAATTTTATTTTATTTGTCATAGCAAATAATCAAGGTGTGTTATTTTAGATTTTGTTATTTTTCAGCCAATCGAGATTATCGAACCGATGTACTGCGTAAGAGTTTATTAAGAACTAATGATTCGTATAAATGGACCGTTATAGATAATTTGATACCCTATACCATCTATAAAATACAAGTTAACGCCTCCAATACAAAGGGTTTTATACTCAGCAACATAGTATCACGCAATATGCCAGCAGGAAGTAAGTATACAACCATACTTGATGCTTTATCTATATGCTAAATCTATTTGTTAAGGCCAGCTCAATTTTCGTCAAGGTCGACTAGATGTAAATAAGGTTAGGGCACATGATTGTTGGTGAGATTGTAGGTCAGGGTTAGGGTAAGCATTGGGTTAGGGTTAGGGTTGGGATTAGCTGCTAGCCCTGTTTATGACGAAAAATTGAGCTGGCCTTATCATTTAGCACTAACCATATTCATATATTTGTGACTGTCGTTTGTCAGTTTGCTCAGGGTTGACACTAATTTTGGAATTGAGAAAATTTGATTCCGGAACAATTAATCGAGTATCCCCTAGATATATGATTTTTCATTTTTAGGTTTTCAAAGATTGCTTATTGAGTGACCAGAATCGTGGTTAGACAGAAAAACAAAAATAACTTTTCAAGCCCCAGATGCAAAAATACCAAAATCAAAATTGATCACCATTTGTTTATATTTTTTAATTTCAGCACCAGATGGAGTTAGCCCACCTTCTCTTGTCTCGGAAACACCCAATTCTATAAAAGCCCAATGGCCGCCAGTTGGACGAGTAAACAGTAATGAAGAGCCATCATATATATTACAGTTCCGAGAAAAAAGAGCAAATTCAATTGTTCAGGAGTAAGTAAGAATTATTCATTAAAGGGACTATCCCGATATCAAGAGATTCTCAAAAACAAAAGTTTCCAGCTCAAAATATTGAGTCGTTTGGACGTGAATGTCAAAATTGCTTATCCGGACACGTAACCCTTTTAAGATTTCGGGTCAGTTTTTTCGTTGGGTGACCTGATAATCGATTCCGTTCCTTGAGAGGTCTGTGTAGTGAATGACCCATGTGCTGTACTTGATAACGAAAGGTAAATTTCAACTACACATTATTTTTATAAAATAAAAGTCTGGTTTTATCCAGACACCGCATAATACAGCTTGGGACACCGGTCTCCATTTCCAGACGAAGACTGACGGGTTTAAGTGGTTTGAAAACTTATCACAAATATTGAGTTAGTTGCACGGCCCTCAGCTAGAGGATTTTAAAGGATTTTAACACAAAATTAAGCAGTTTTATTCTCCCAAAAATATCGGGATTAGCCCTTTAAATATGAATTTGTGAATAGTTCACTAAATTAAAACTGCAGGTGGGATTCAAGAGAGAGAGAGAGAGAGAAATGTCCACTCAACACAAACTATGTCAATTTGGGACTAGCATATGGTTCAATTTTATTTCATTGAATTCCTTGCATGTAGATTGAGGACCAGGAGAAAACCCTTGATGTTGAAGAGACAACTCCCCTTCACGTACAAGCTGTTAATGTAACTTGACTCAATTATGATCTAAAGTGCACCCCTGTCTCCCCCCAAATCCCTCCCTCAACCGTTAGCTTTTTCTAGTTTACTTTAAGCAGTTTACCAGGATTATGAAATATTTTCTTACATGTTTGTTACTTTAATTTTTGTAGTATATTCGGACCAACGTCAACTCTGATCTACACGAAAGAAAATCTTCTTGCCTATACAGCATACGAGTTCCGAATCGTAGCATCCAATTCTCATGGACCTTCTTTCTCCGACTGGGCGACACAGATAACTAGACAAGACAGTGAGTATTCTGATCTCCTTTTACTTTACAAATTTTACCCACTGAAAATTTTTATGCTCTCTCTCTGGCAAAATGTGACCTACTTTGACTAAATGTGACCTGCTTTGGCTGGCTAAATGTTACTTTCACCTGGCTGACTAAATGTGACTTTCACTCTTGCTGGATAAATGTGACTTTCACTCTTGCTGGATTAATGCGACTTTCACACTTGCTGGATAAATGTGGCCTACTTTGGCTGGCTAAATGTGACCTACATTGACTGACTAAATGTGACCTTCTTTGGCAGACTAAATGTGACTTTCACTGGACCAAATGTGACTTTCACTCTGGCCAAATGTGACTAACTCTAAAGTGTGATCGACTCTGTGATTGATTTTTGTTAAATGTGATCTATAATTGTCTGATGCGCAAAATTTTGAAACCAAAACTGTGGTGACACTTTAACATTAATTTGAAAAGCATCAACCGGGCTAATGATGCAAAATGCTGAGGAAACTTTCTTGGCCAACACAATGATCGGAGAGATAGAAATGGGGTTTAACGTCCACTCAACACAAACTACGTCATTTCGGCACTATTATATGGTTTAATTTTATTTCAATAATTCGCTTGCGCGTAGGGGTCTTTAGCAGTGGGAGGAAATGATAAAACCCACGAGGTTGGACAGGCGACCCTACTCCTAGTCACATACAACCGGGAATTCGAAACGATGCCAGTTGACTCAATGACAGACCTTATGATGCAACACGCACACGCTAACCACCCCCTCCCCCAATGATCAAATCCAGCACCTCCTGGTTGGTGAGACAGCACCTTACTCCCTCAAATCGAAAAACATCTGAATTGGAAGACAAGTTATTGATTGTAGATCTTCAGGAAAAGAGTAAATCTGTAATTATTGTATATTTTCAGGACCACTTGGTGTAATGCCACCTCAGATCACAAGTATCAACACACGATATATTGACCTGGTGTGGACGCCACCGTTATCACCCAATGGTATTATTAGAGATTATAGGATATATCAAAATACAGAATTAAGATTAACAGTAAGATTATTACTATTTACCATCATCATCATCATCAACACCAACACCAACATCACCACCACCAACAACAACATCATCATCTTCATCATCATCAACATCATCATCATCATCATTGTCATCATCATCGCAGCACTGTCCAATTAAATTGAAATTTTTGCTTTCTTCAAAGTGGTTGAATCAATTTCAGTTAGATTTCAAAATAACTGTCCTGTTAACTGAGTTTTAAAAAATAACTACACATGTCAACTCAAATTCAAAATCACTATACATGTCAACCCAATTTTAAATTTCAAAACCATTATAGTCAACTCTTTAATTTTAAATTTCAAATCTTAAAAACAACTACCTGAGTCAACTCAAATTTCAAAATGACTATATACATGTCAACTCAATTTCAAAATGACTACCCGTGTCAACTCAATTTAAAATTTCAAAATGACTACCCGTGTCAACTTAATTTCCAAATTCAAAATCACTACCCATGTCAACTCAAATTTCAAAATGACTATATACATGTCAACTCAATTTCAAAATGACTACCTGTGTCAACTCAATTTAAAATTTCAAAATCTTTACCCATGTCAACACAATTTAAAATTTCAAAATCACAACCCATGTCAACTTAATTTCCAAATTCAAAGTTGCTACCCTTGTCAAGAGTTAAATAAATAAATTTAAAATGCTAATTGAATATTAATTTGTAAATTGTCAGCTGTCTGATTATTTTTTATTACAGTTAGCAGGTAACGTGACATCACAGAGAATAGATAATCTAGTACCCTACACGTATTACATATTTAAAGTGGAGGCGTGTACCTTAGGAGGATGTTCCAAAAGTGATGAATCAATCCAGGTTCGAACTCTAGAAGCAGGTACAATACCATTAAAACATGTTTTTATATGCTCACAATTTCATGTGGACGTATATTGTCGTCGCCCATATCCATCTGTTCCCCAATTTGTTTTTGGACAGGTCACAATTTTTATCCGATCTTGACAAAACTTAAAATATAGATTTATATCCAAAAGATCTCAATTCCTTTCATTATTGGCGTGTATTGCATTGTAACTTCATGGATTATGGCCCCTGATTTTACGAAAAGTCACATTTTTAGCATGTCGCAAATTTTATCCGAATTTGATGAAACTTTAAATGTATGTTTATGGTGCTTTTAGCTTGTTGTTCCTCTAGAGGTATTGGATTGTAACTTCCTGGATTATGGGCCCTGATTTTATGTAAAATCGATTTTTTTTCTTTTAGCTTGTTCTCTGTCCATCTCTTGCAAAATGTGGACCTATCTTGCATGGCAACTGCTTGTTATATCTTAAACCACCCATGTCTGCCATACACAACTAAAACTAGCAGTGCCAGATTGACCTAAGGCTTGGCAGACTGAAGCCAAGGGCCTCAAGATCTAGAGGCCTCTGACAGAGGTGTATATTATTTTTGACACTGTTGTAAGCCTTTCTAACTCACACTGTAGTCTTAAACAGCTGTTGTCATCATCCTCGGCTTATTAAAACACACTTTCATCTTTCTCTAGTGGTGAGGATGGGAGTTTAGCAGGGTCCTCTTAAATGGAATAGCCTAGGGCCTCTCTTAATCTAAGTAAGGCACCGCACTAACCATTACGGCTTCAGTACACGAGAAACGGAAACCACAGTTTATCATTGAAGTCATCAATGTCCACTGATCGAGATTGGCCGTTAAAAGTTCATCTTGATTTTCCAACATGGTTTCCCCTTGTCAGTGGTATAGGACGGAGGGCCTGACAAGGACTGCCATCTAGTCATTCAGATGGGACAAAAAAACGAGGTCCTGGGTATACATTTGAATTTCGATATAAGAGTGGGCCATAGTGCCGCTGCCCAGGCAAAATTTCCCTCATAGGACACTGCATGGCATATGCCCGTCTTCATTAGCCCAGTTGGAGCAGAACAGTAGGACGTTAAACCCCATTTCATTTTATTTCATTTCCACTGATCTAGCACATCGTGGAACCATGGTGGCTCTCTAGTTAGATGCTGGTTCAGGAGATACCGGTAATTACTGGTATATAATATCGTGTTTGTGTTTTTAAATTTCAGCCCCGGATGTGACAGTAGCACCGAATGCAACAGCGTTGACTCCGACGTCTGTGGAGTTAAAATGGCTGGAACCAACCCATCCGAATGGTGTTATAAGTAGTTATACCATAGAGAGACGACTAACAGGAACAGAAGCAGTCGTTTTTGTTGGAAGGGTTCCTGCAACCCAGAAGGCTTATATCGACCAATCAGCTGATCTTTCTCCATATACAAGTTATGATTACAGGTTGAAGGTGGTGAATTCGGCAGGGGAAGGTATCAGTCCATGGACAGCTGTTGTAACCAGACCCTCAAGTAAGTACAAGAATGTCCATTATTTGGTTGATCAGTCCATTAAATTATAAACACATATTTGAAATAGGCACACTCTTGACCTGTGGTCCTTTTCACTTTGGGGGGTTGGATGGCTGAATGGTTAGCATGTGGCATTGTATGATAAGGCCTGTCATTGAGTCAACTGGTGTGGTTTCAATTTCCCTGGTTGTACGTGACAAAGAGTAGGGTCGCCTGTCCGACCTCATGGTTTTTTTCCAGGTTTGCTCCCACTGCTAAAGACCCCTACGTGCAAGCAAATTATTCCAATAAAATTGAATCATATGTTAGTCCCAAAATGACCTAGTTTGTGTCAAGTGGACGTTAAATCCTGTTTCCTGCTCTCTGTGCTTCTGTCCTTCAACATGTGTGGCTCAATCACTAACCGGGGGGTTGGATGGCTGAATGGTTAGCGTGCGCTCGCTGTATCATAAAGTCTGTCATTGAGTTGCCTGTCCAACCTCATGGGTTTTCTCCGGGTCCTCCGGTTTCCTCCCACTGCTAAAGACCCCTACGCGCAAGCGAAGTATTGAAGTAAAATTTAAAAAAAAAAAAAACCATATGTTAGTCAAGAAATGACCTAGTTTGTGTCGAGTGGACATTAAACCCCATTTCTCTCTCTCTCTCTCTCTTTCTCTCTCTCTCTCAATCACTAACCAGAAGACATCAGGTATTGGTGAAGAAAGTTCTTCAAGATTTCCAGCCTGTTTTTCCCATCTCCTTGTACCAGTAGTTTGGATAGGACAAAAAAAATGATGTCCCCGTTTGTAACGGTACTCGATTCTGTCAGCTGGAATTCAATTTTTCTCAGAGCATATTGCATAGTATATATGGCCGTCCTTCTTCATTTATCCCAAGTCTGTACGGTTGGTCAAGAAAACTTGAATGTTAAACCTTATATCTTTTCAATCTGATTAAAAGACAGATCTATATTTCGTTTCGTTTTTTTATACTTTCGATGGCCTACGCTACATGAAGATCTGACCAGTTAGAGCAATAGGTCGCGTCAGAGGTCATACGAGCGGCTTTTGACCCTATGATGTCAGACATTTGATTAACCAATCAGCATTGATGTTACTAGTGGATTACCCACGGTTCCGTGCAAAACACGCCTAAAGCTCGCCCTAACAGACCGTTTCATTGGCTAATAGCTCACATTATTCAGAACACGTCAATGATAACAAATCTTCCAGATCCTAGTGTAGTAAAGACAAGTAAAACGAAATTTTGAACTATAAAAACAAAATGAAATAGAAACTTTGTTTTAATCAGGGGCCTGTTTCACGCAATTTTAACTAAGATAAAATCCAAATTTTAGTAATTTGATTGGATAATATGAGATTGATTTTAGTGCTAAGCCAATCAAAATTGAAGTATCTACTAAAATTTGGATTTTATCTTTAGTTAAAATTTCGTGAAACAGGGCCCAGATTGATATCTTTTATTGAAAATGAAAGAATGTTGACATGTTTTACGTTTGTTTTCAGGGCCAGCAGGTGTAACGGCACCATTAGTAGAAGTTAGAAACGCTACATCTATCTACTTAAAATGGGTTCCACCAATCAGATCGAATGGCCAGTTAGAGTATTATATTATACGTCTGCCTGAGCCTCGAGTTGAGATACGTAATACCAGTGTGTTAGAGACTACGATACACAACTTGACACCATATACACAATATTCTGTTACACTTACTGCTTGTACATGTAAGTAGAATGGGTTTTTTTTGGGGGGGAATAGTTTAACATGTGCCTATTAGATCGTTAGGTCTGTCATTGAGTCATTTGGTGTGGTTTCGATTTCCTGCTTGTACGTAACTAGGAGTAGGGTCGCCTGTCCAACCTCAGGGGATATGGGATTTCTCTGGGACCTACGGTTTCCTCCCACAGCTAAAACCCCTATGTGCATATATTAACGTAACTATGAGCAGGGTCACCTGTTCAACTTCATGGGATTTCTCTGGGACCTACGGTTTTCTCCCACAGCTAAAACCCCCATGTGCATATTAACGTTACTAGGAGCAGGGTCGCCTGTCCAACCTCATGGGATATGGGATTTCTCTGGGACCTACGTTTTTCTCCCACAGCTGAAACCCCTATGCGCATGTGTTAATCCCAACATGACCTAGTTTGTGTAGTGTGGACAAGAACCCTCTCTCCCTCTCTCTCTCTCTCTCTCTCTCTCTCTCTCTTTGGTTAAAATTAAAAATTTTAGGGGTGTTGGGTGTCCAAATTGGTTAACGTTTGCCCGTTAGATCACGAGGAGTGAGGTCGTCTGTACAACCTCGTGAGTTGCCTCCGGGTTCTGATAAAGATCCCTTCATGCATATGTTAGTCCCAAAATCACATAGCTTCTGTTGAGTGGACGTTAAACTTGATTTCTCTCTCTCTTTTGGGTCGAAATTACTACTTCATGTAGACATCTTTGATTTGGTAAAAAAAATAATTGTTGATATCATTGGAATTTATGTCTTGATTTGTTCTGTGAGGTGACAATCTGTCTTCATTTACAATTTTACGTCTATCGATAAAGCCACTGTTGAGATATAGCCAATTTCCACTGTCAACAGTTTAGTCAAAAGTGAATGTGGAAGAACGTATTTACCAAGGGCATGTTAATATACTGGCATTTATACTGTCATCTTGTTTATTTACAGCTGGTGGATGTAGTGAAAGTTCAGCTGTAGTCATAACAACAATGGCCACCATTCCAGACGGTCAGGCCCCACCAACACCTACAGCTGAGTCCCAATCCCTAATATCTCTAGTATGGCAGCCTCCGTCGAAACCTAATGGTGTTGTTATAGGCTATGAGTTATCTCGAAAGAAAATATACCAACCTTTAGATCGTAAGTTATTCATGTTATAACAGTACTGTTTCTGCTATGCTCAAAGTTTCCCCGCCGGCGGGGAAGGGGTTGGGGGAGGGGGGTGAATGGCCTAATGGTTTGCATGTGCGCGCTGTATCATAAGATCTTTCATTGAGTCAACTGGCAAGGTTTTGATTCCCCAGTTGTATGTGACAAGGAGAAGGACGTCTGTCCAACCTCGTGGGTTTTCTCCGGATCCTCCCGTTTCCTCCCACTGCTAAAGACCCCTAGGTGCAAGCGAATTATTGAAATAAAATTGAACCATGTGTTAGTCATGAAATGACCTAGTTTGTGTCAAGTGGACGTTAAACCCCATTTCTCTCTCGCTAACCAGGAGGTCCGTAGTTTGATCCGCTTGTTGATCGAAAAAGTTCCCATGATATTTCAAAGGATATTTCCACGCAAATTGCAAACGCAGAATTCTCAATTCTTAAATATATCAGATTCGTTGGTTTGCCAGAAACGCGACGATTAAACCACATTTCATTTCTTTCATTCATTTAAAGTAAAATGGCTGACGTTTAGAACTCTCAGCATACAAGTTAAATAAATTCATCAGATTATCTGGGGAGTTCACATAAATGTCAACTGATTTTTATTTTTTGTATGTAAACAGCGACTGTAACCGATCTTGGCGTATGGGCGAGTGTTTATAGAGGATCAGCGTTATTTTATGAAGATCGGGGACTTCCCATGTTTACAACCTTTGTGTATAGAGTCACAGTGTTCAACAATATTGGTCAGAAAACAAGTGAACCATCTCAGAATGTGACAAGTTTCGGAGGACTGCCTCGTCGAGCACCAGACGTCACTGTCACACCTACAAGTCATCAGTCGTTACTCGTTAGTTGGGTGACTCCAGGTATGTTAATTAGGTGTCTTCCGATATTTAACCCTTTTTTCTGTTTCGTCCTGTCATATTTTACAATTGTAGTAAACATGAACATCAGGCAATCCATCTCTTAATCTGTCAAATAGTAGTGTGATCACCCCTTAATCTTTCAAGGAATAGTGTTGTTACCCCTTAATCTGTCGAAAACAGTGGTGTGGAAGCCCCATAATATGTCAAACAGTTGTATGGTCAACCTTCATCTGTCAAAAACATTTGTGTGCTAGTCCCTTTTATTTTCAACACATTAAGTGTAAATAATTTAATTAATTCATCCTGTCCATGATATCATATTTAATGTATTGGACGTTGAATCTTTAATAAACAACAACAACAACATCCCCTTTTAAAATCTGTCATAAAGTGGTGTGGTAACCCCCCCCCCCCATCAATCAAACAGTAGTGTCCCTCTTCATCTGTCAAACATTAATGTGGTCAGCCCTTGGTCTCTGGGGGGGGGGGGGGATGGCTGAATGGTTAGCATGTGCGTGCTGTATCATAAGGCCTGTCATTGATCCAACTGCCGTGGTTTCGAATCTCTGGTTGTACGTGGGTTTCCTCCCACTGCTAAAGACCCCTACGCGCAAGCGAATTATTGAAATAAAATTAAACCATATGTTAGTCCCGAAATGACCTAGTTTGTGTAAAGTGGAAGTTAAACCCCATTTCTCTCTCGCTCCCTTGGTCTGTGGTCAACTCCTTAATCTCTGAAGCAGTAGTATGATCACCCCTTAATTTACCAAACAGTGGTGTTGTCATCCCTTCATCTATCAAACATTAATGTAGTCAACCTTTGTTCTGTCACAAAGTAGTGTCGTCAACCCCTTAATCTCTCAAACATTAGTGTGGTCGCCCCTTAATCAACCAAACAGTGGTGTTGTCACCCCTTCATCTGTCAAACTAGAGACCAAATGACCAAAGTGACCAAATGTGAATGAATGTCACCAGGTCATCACAAACAACTTAAACTTTCTGGTGACCATGGTTACGTAAGTGTTCAGTTTAAGAAAGATATAATTTACTTTTACATTTGAACAAACTTGAAACCCCCCACAAAATCTAACAATAATGAATTTTAATTTCATGTATGATATTTTTTTTATTTGTTTTTCTTTAGATCCAGTAGATCTTCAGGGGAAAGTAGACAAATTTACCATTGAAACAAGGTCAAATTCTGTGCTGTTGACAAATACGACAGGTGCTGAGACGAACAGTTTTATACTGGAGAATTTAAACCCTGACACAGAATATACTGTTGTTGTTGGTGTGACCATATATGGTGGTGCTTCCATTAACAGTAATCCAGTTAAGGCTCGCACACTGAACGGAGGTAAGTTATATTTTTGCTCGGATTTAATAGGGAAAAATTGAAAGCCCCAACATACCAGAATAAAGGTTAAATAATATAGAGTTTACAGATCCAATGTCAGAATAAAGCTTAAGGGAGCTAAGTCGCTAATATTTGGGACCTAGAAATTGACACAAATGGGTCGCAACGCATACAATAATGTAATATGAATGTATATAAATTGATTTACATTCAATCGTTTCTGTTTTTACTGTAATTTCTAATCAGTTAGGTTCGGCGAAATACTCCAGTATTCTCAATCGAATTTTAATCTCTAGCGTCTGGTTATTCCAGTCTGCGCCAATAGTATTTATTGGGCATGCTCTCCAGATAAGAATATAGCGTCACCGTTTGACATGACTTGTGAAATATGCATAGCCTCGTTTTTCGAGTCCCTTATTACAAATAGTGCTGAAACGCATTATGGTACACGAATCATGTACCAATTGTAAAATGTTTATTTTGTCTTAAATATTGGATATCAGAAGGCCATCTTTTCCCGGTAAGATCACAACATGAATGTTGATTTAAACCAACAAATAAATCGTGTTTTAAATGTCGAAGATTTTGGATGATATTGAGTAAGAGACTTAGCTACTTTAAACATAGAGTTTAAAGATCCAGTATGTCAGAATAAAGGTTACGGTCATTTTAAGTTTGCATTGGTTGCACACGACCATCTTTATCTCTCTTAGACCAGTAAGTAATAATAATTGTTCTGTTTTCCTACAATTTTTGTCTATACATTAAAATAGCACATGTTTGTGTGCACTTGACAGAACCCGATTTTTTTTTATTTCGTTGATATTTTCAGCTCCACAAGGAATTTCACCACCAACTTTAGCCGTGATTAGTGAGACTGCGTTACGTGTTTCGTGGTCAGCACCAAGTCAACCTAACGGAGATATAATAAATTATAATATTTATATAGATGATAGGATTATATCCACCAATATGTCCACTCCCAGTTCTATTATAGTCAACGATCTACAACCATTTACAGTTTATCAAATAAAGGTAGGAAATATTTGTTTTTAAAAAAAAGCTTTATTTCTCCAAACAAAAAGGTATAGTTGGTGCCATGTATGGAAACTCATGGGCTTATGGCATCAAATATTTCGGGTGGTGGTGGGGTGGGGGTGGGATGGCTATTAAAAAAGCTTTATTTATCCAAACAAAATGGTTTGTTGGTGCCATGTATGGAAACTCGTGGGCGTACAAACTTTCATGGCATCAAATATTTTTTGTTGTTGTGGTAGGTGGGGGGGGGGGGGGGAGGGGGAGGTGGGTATAAAAAAGCTTTATTTCTCCAAACAAAGGTTTGGTTGATGCCAGTTATAGAAAGTCTTGAGCTCATGATTGTACCCACTTTCATAGAATAAAATATTTGTGAAAAAAAAAAGTTTTATTTCTCTAACTCTTGAGTTCACAAACTTTCATGTCATCAAAATTCCTACACCACTGACAAAAAGAAATCACGCTTCAAAATCACGATGAACTGTTTCAACTAACACCCAGATCAATCAAGGACCTCCGGGTCGAAATGAAATGGGGTTTCACATCCTACTTTTCTGCACCGACGGCATACAAAAGAAACGACCATATGTTAGTCTCAAAATGCCCAAAATATTGTGTTAGGATTCCCGTTTCTATTATTGTATCGGGGGGTGGGGGGGTCTAGCGGTTTAACCTGTGTGTATGAAATCATAAGGTCTGTCATTGAGTCAAGTGGCGTGGTTTCGATTCCCCGGGGTTACTTGACAAGGAGTAGGGTCGCGTGTCCAAGCTTGTGGGTTTTCTGAAATAAAACTGAACCATGTTAGTCCCGAAATGACCTAGTTAGTGTCGAGTGGATGTTAAACCCCATTTCCCTCCCTCTTTTTATATATATATATATATATATATATATATATATATTATTGTGCTTGTATTTATCTACAGGTGGAAGTATGTACAGTGTTCCAGTGTTCACAGAGTCCAACAACTGCCGGTACCACGTCTGAATCTCTACCCCAGGGACTAGCGAATCCTGTCTTACAGGCCTTGAATTCTACGGCTGTTCAGGTGACATGGAGTAAACCAAACAGAGAAAATGGCATCATCAGAAGTTATAATTTGTGGAGAAAAACTTTAAAGAAATGTGTTGATGTGTAAGTAGTGTGAAGCAATCAGAATGATTTGCAAGAGTAACCATTTCCCTGGCCATTGTTGAGTGTGTTGAAGGGATTTAGGAAGAACATGATGCAGAAATGAGGTGATGGATGAGGCAATAATAATAGGAAATCTGTTTCAAAATGGCCTAGCAGTACACGTCTTGATATTCCTTGTCAACAAGACCTTGCAATATATCCACAACCAGTGTTTTTATTATATTTTAACGCTTGCTGACATTAGTGACATGAAAACACGCCTAGTTGCCTGCCCATAAGGAATAGGTTGATTGTAGTGTGGTGTGACATGATTAATTGTGGAGTTACACCAAAAGGAGCCATGGTGGCTGAGTGGGTAAGATGCTGGCTCGCTAGCTTGCATTGGCCGAGAAAGTTCATCATGATTTTCCGGCGTGGTTTCCCTTGTCAGTGGTGCAGGATGGAGGGCCTGACAAGGACAGCTGTCCAGTCGTTTGGAGGAGACAAAAAGCCAAGGACCCGTGTATACATTGGCATGCACCTTAAAGATTCCTTGGCAGTTGGAATTTGATATAAGAGTAGGCCATAGTGCTGCTGCCCAGGCAAAATTTCTCTCATAGCACACAGTACGGCATATGTCCGTCTTCATTAGCCCAGTTGGAGTAGAACGTTAAACCCCATTTCATTTCATTTTATTTGTTACACCAATATCTTTTATATTAAAATAAGGTGCCTATCTGTATAAATAAATATGTTTGTATATTACAGAAGTCAACCAGCTGTGAATCCTGAACAAGAGAAATGTACGTATGTAGAATGTGGTATATTACAGAGTAGGTGTGGTCAAACGTGTTATACAGGTACAAAGGTGAGTAAATACACAATCTGCTCGTCACAAATTCAAACTTCCCATATGTTCCTGAGTGAGGTGGAAGAGTGGTGTAATGCATGCTCTTTAGATTATAATGCAGTTGTTCTCAACCTTTTTTTGCCAACAGCACACCTTGGAATATATGTAAAAATAGCGGCACACCTGGCTAAATATATATGAAAAATATCTGAAATTTGCAAAATAAAAACATTTTAAGTCAGGCGACATACAACCGTAGACAGAGACTATAGTTATAGACACATAGAATGACTCAAACTAAATAAAGAAAAACACAGCTATGAACTTATCAGTCGACACCAGTGAATATTCAATTGGAATCACATGGTTTTTCACATTTTCTTAGTGTACCGTTCTAAATTTTGCAGCACAATTAGGAAGATCTCACGTCACACTGGTTGGGAATCACTGTTATAAGGTCTGTCATTGAGTCAAGGACTTAGGTCTTGATCCTAAGCTTGTGTGTGACAAGGAGTAGGCCCACCATCAGACTCGTCAAGGACATTATGACAAGGTTGGGGGGCTTTGTGTGGATTATTACATGACAAGATATTGGACAAATGACAGAAATTCGACTTTAATTAAATCTCAATAAGATTTATAGTTTGAGGTGTTTTTTACCAAATGAGTTCCACTAAGCTCTGGCCAATAATGTTGGTAATCAGGGTTTCAGTTATAATTAACAGCATAAAATTTATGCTCGTTGGAACATTTTTGGGGTACGATTGTTAATTATATTTCATTTTATTTAGTAAAATAGACCGAAATTATGACTACCTGTGTTGGGTGGGGCTGTAAAGCATTGTTGCTTCCGAGAACTGTTGCTACATCACTGGATAACACTTTGTCAGTGAGAGTGGCCTTAAGAAACATTTTCTTTTGTTTTTATATGCGAACACAGAGATTACTGATAGAGTTATTGCCCTTGATTTTGTCATAGAATCTCATGAACATTCCATTGATATTATACAGTATAAATATTTTGCTTTTTATGCACTTAAAGATTCACAGTGCAACAAGTTTTGTGGACTGCTCAGGTAATTTAGTTGCTGTGGTTGTATGATTTGTTGCTTGGCAACCTTAAGGGACTATATATATAAGGCTTTTTTATCGACTTGCCAAATCGATTTGAATTTAGTGGAGATGTCATGTGACAGTATAGTCGATTTCAAAGTACTTTGGCGAGTTCGTTAAATGTTCCGATTAGCTGTAAACAATTGTTGTGGCTGGACACAGTTGAAAAAAACATGTGATCACCCGATCAAATCGTCAAATCGCACCATGAAGTGATTTGGCGTTTTGGTGTAATCGCTTCGGAAATCGGTGTCGATGAATTCGTTGATTAGGGTAACCAATTTAAATTAGATGGACATTAAAGATGAAAATTTGATTAAATGCAAATCACTTTGGCTAATCAGTGGTCGATAAAAACGCCTTAAATCACATTTATTTGTTGACACATTTTCAGAGATGTTGTAATGGTGTTTTACACGATGCCATATTTGGATATGAATGCTGTGATACAAATTATGTACCGAAACCATCGACTGATGCTATCTGCTGTGGTGGTGCTTTCTACTCTCCGTTACCGAATTACCAATGTTGTGGAGCTAGGTAAGACAAAGGACTGACAAGGAAAGCATGCCATCATTTGAATTGGACATAAGCCTGCATGCATGTAAGAGAACCCTTGGCTTGTAAAATTCGAAGAAAAGTGAGAAGAATACCAATGCCTGGGCAAAATCCACTATTGCATTGCACATATAACCATAGAAATAAAACTTACCTTATGTTAGTCACATAACCTCATTCCCTTCTCTTTCCTTTCTTCACTGTGGCAGGACAAGGAAAGCTGTCTAGTCATTTGGATGGGATGAAAAACCAAGGTCCTGTGTATTCATTGGCATGCACGTAAAAGATCCCTTTACAGTTAGAATTTGATATAAGATTAGACCGTAGTGCCGCTGCCCGTGCAAAATTTCTCTCGGAGCAGAACAGTAGGACATTAAACTCCATTTCATTTCATTTAATGTCTACACTGTGGTCATTAACTTACCAATCAGAGGTAAACCAGTATAATAGACTTAAATATATTTTAAAGAAATGATATTGAAAATATATTTGAACTTGTCTTTTTCTACATTATTAGATATGTAATGGTGCCTGTAGGATCATCATGCTGTGCTGATACAGTAGAAGATCGTATCACTATTGGTTACGGTGATTCTTGTTGTGGATCGGTGCCTTATTCCAGTACAGGATCCCAGATCTGCTGTACCAGTAAGTAAAGATTTCATCATCTTTTGAAGGCAGTCTCAGTGTCTTAGTGAGTAAGGCACTGATTCACTATAACCACTCGGTCCAGGGTTTGTTTCTGGTGTGCTGAGTGAGTAAGGCACTGACCTGGTGTGCTGAGTGAGTAAGGCACTGACCTGGTGTGTTGAGTGAGTAATGCACTGACTCACTAACCACTAGGTCCAGGGTTCATTTCTGGTGTGCTGAGTGAATAAGTCAGAGTTCGATTCTGGTGTTTTCACTGAGAACCGTCAAGGCCTCTAGCCATTTGGATGAAACCGAAATTGTTAGTGCATATAAAAGATCCCTTGGCAGTTGAAATTTGAAATAAAAGTTAAGGCCATACGAGTAGAACTGCTGTTCCAGAAAACTTTCCCTCATAGCACACTGTATGGCCTATGCCCATCTTCATTAGCTTGTTTAGTACAGAAAAGTAGGCCATTAAACCACATTTAATTTCATTCCATCATTTTTCTCACTCCTACTTGTCAGTGATGCAGGATGGAGGGCCTGACAAGGACAGCTGTCTAGTCATTCGTTTGGAACAAAAAACCGAGGTCCCGCGTGCACGCCAATGTGTACGCGGGACCTCGGTTTTTCTTACCGAGGTCCCGCGTACACATTGGCGTGCACGAAAAAGATCCTTGACAGTTTAAATTCGATATAAGGGTAGGCCACTGTCCGGGCAAAATTTCCCTCATAGGACACTGTATGGCGTATGCCCGTCGATCAGAACAGTAGGACGTTAAACCCCATTTCATTTTATTTCATTCACTTTTAAAATTCTTTGTACATATGCTGCCTTGTACACAGCAGCTGTCACTATTAATCACAAGGAGGCTACAAGAACAGTTGTTTAAATAAACAGTTTAATTAAATATTAAGTTATGGACCATGTCAACTTACCAATTTTTTCGTTGTTTCCACAGATCAGTTATTTGGTAGATATACCAAACAGTGTTGTGGAGGACTGGTTGTCAGTGATAGCGCTGTATGCTGTGGTAATGGTACCACAGGAGAGGTTTATTTACCACAACAGCAACGGTCATGTTGCGGTGAGAAATACGTTGACACACAGAGTACGCTGTGTTGTACGAGTGATACTGGACATGAAAAGGTTAGTCCCAATATTTTGTCACATAAAATAGAACATTGCTACAGAATATTTTTTTGGATAAATCTGAATTACGTTAGACCCCCATTTTACTCTCTCCCCAATCTTGATTAAAACGCAGCTCCTATTTCGTTTTGTTTATTATAGTTTAAAATTTCATTTTACTTGTCTTTACTACTCTAGGGTCTGGAAGAGTTGTTATTTTACCGGCATTCTGGTTGAAGTGAGGGATTAGCCAATGAAACGGTCTGTTATGGCCAGTTCTTGGTGTGCGATGCACGGAACTGTGGGTAAACCACTAGAAACGTCAACATTGATTGATTAATCAATAACTGATGTCATAGGGTCAAAAGTCACTCATACGACCCCTGACGCGACCTTCCAGTACAACTGGTCAGATCTTTATGTAGTGTAGGCCATCGAAAGTATAAAAAAAAATGAAACGAATTATAGATCTGTATTGTAATCAGATTACTCTCTCCCCCACCCAAATACGTGTCAGTCTGAAAAACCATAATGCTGATAGTTTTCAAGGATAGTTATTAACGTCTGCTTCCACAAAAGTTGTACTATTTTTAGTATATTTAATATATTTAGAGCATGCAATGTGGTTTTTAATGGGGGAGGAAAAAGTTGAGAAGGCATCCCTGTCTCCAAGATATGTACTTGCAAGAAACCAGGGATTGAATTCACAACCGCATGCTAGAGCTTACCAGCTTTCTAGAACCACATGTACTATTTAATTAATTATTTATAATACAGGCTCATTATTATACGAGTATCACAGCTAAACTATCAGCCAATGAGAAGTGTTGTGGTACAGAGAAAATAACCAATGGTTTAAGCTGTTGTAATTATGTTGGGTATAATCCTGCTTCTCAAGTCTGTGCTGATAAATCCTCTAATTCTCAAGGTAAGATTTTTAAATTATTTTCATGAATGTCAATAAATATCCAGTGCTTAAATGATAATCCAGTGATGAAAACCGGCAATAACAACAAATATGGACTTCTTAGATGGAAATAGGAGTAAATACTTCACTTTTCTCTGATTTTCTTCAAAGAACTTGGGTTATCAGTATTTAGTGCTTGACATTTTGTCATGTACAACTAAAGTCATTATTACCATTAAAACACAACACAATTTATATTAAAAATGGGGGGTGGATGGCCGAATGGTTAGCCCGTGCGCGCTGTATCATAAGGCCTGTCATTGAGTCAACTGGCGTGGTTTCGAATCCCTTGTTGTACGTCACAAGGAGTAGGGTCGCCCGTCCAACCTTGTGGGTTTTCTCTGGGTCCTCCGGTTTCCTTCCACTGCTCAAGACCCTCTACGTGCAAGCGAATTATTGAAATAAAATTAAACCATATGTTAGTCCCGAAATGACCTAGTTTGTGTCGAGTGGACGTTAAACCCCATTTCTCTCTCTCTCTCTCTCTCTGGAAAACAATCACCGGTTTATAGCACAACGGTTTATAGCACAACGTTTCAACATGTCTTCTCCTATGGTTATGAGGAACTTGTGTGTATGTGTAGCAATCTGATTAAATACTTTCGATGGCCTGAAGATCTGACCAGTTGTAGTAGAAGGTCACGTCAGGTGTCATACGAGCGTCTTTTGACTTTATGACGTGAGACGTTGATCAATCAATCAGCGTTGACATTTCTAGTGGATTACCCAAAGTTCCATGCACCTTGCGTCCAAAACTAGTCAGGGGGGTTGGATGGCCGAATGGTTAGCACGCGCGCACTGTATCATACGGTCTGTCATTGAGTCAACTGGCGGGGTTTCGATTCCCCGGTTGTATGTGACAAGGAGTTGGGTCGCCTGTCCAACCTCGTGGGTTTTCTTCTGTCCTCCGGTTTCCTCCCACTGCTAAAAAGACCCTTACACACAAGCCAATTATTGAAATAAAATTGAAACATGTGTTAGTCCCGAAATGACCTAGTTTGTGTCGCATGGACGTTAAACCCCATTTCTCTTTCTCGCTCCAAAACTAGCCATAACAGACCGTTTCATTGGTTTATTCCTCACATCATCCAATACACTATTTATATAACAACTATTCCAGATCCTAGTGTAGTAAAGACTAGTAAAACCAAATTTTGAACTATAAAAAAATGAAATGAAATAGGATCTGTGTTTATTCAGATTGTGTAGAAACCAGTGATTGTTTTTCATATGAATTGTGTGGTGTTTTTTTATTGTGCTCCATCATTAAATGTCACTCAAGGATTATATATTTATTGTAGAAACAGGATGTGGAACAGGAACTGTATGTTCGATAAGTGAAGCTAACGGTGCCGTTTGTAACCGATGTAATTTTAACTCTGCGACATCATCATGTGGAGCTGTACCTGGCTATCATATTAAAACACCCACACCTGGAACACCTACACAAGATATGTGTACAATAGATGTACAGATGATTTACTCTGATCTACTTCTAACATACACAGGTAAGGATGTTAACATATACAAGTAAGGCTATTAACATATACAGGTAAGGATGTTAACATATAAAGGTAAGACTATTAACATAACAGGTAAGCCTATTAACATATACAGGTAAGACTATTAACATGTGGGGGGTTGAATGGTTAGCACGTGCGCGCTGTACCATAAAGTCTGTCATTGAGTCAACTGGCGTGGTTTCGAATCCCCTACGCGCAAGCTAATTATTGAAATAAAATTAAACCATGTGTTAGTCCCGAAATGACCTAGTTTGTGTCGAGTGGACGTTAAACCCCATTTCTCTCTCTCTCTCTCTCTCTATTAACATGTACAGTTAAGGGTGATAACAAATGAAGGTAAGGCTATTAACTTATACCTGTGAGGGATCTAGGTTAATAACATATACAGGTAAAGGTTCAAGGGTATTAATAACATATACAGGTAAAGGTTCAAGGGTATTAATAACACATACAGGTTAAATGTCAAGGCTATTGACATATCGTCGGTGAAGTGTCAAAAGGGTGTATCTAAGAATTTCTAAAGATTAAGAAATAGAACCTTTTGCATTTCAAAATTTCCACAAATCAAGATACAACATTTGGACACATGATACCTAGAACAGTTCTAATTGGCGTAGAGATTTACAGCTTAGACAGAAATGTGCATATTAATTGGGAGATTTTAAAAATGCAAAAAAGTGTATTTGACTAATTACATATATTTGTAATTAATATTAAAGTTTCTGTGGGCCATCTGCATTTTTGGGAATATATCATGGCTAAATCAAGGCTTGGACTCAATCAGATTAAAACAGGCCCATCTGTAAGATTTTTCAAATTACGGAAGGGAATTAAACCATTTTGGACAGATATTCCTATTAGAGATTCAACTTTTACTATATGGTAGTTGGGATTCTAATAGTGCTCAAATCATGCTCCGAGACTTGAAGTAAATATTAAAACAGTCTGATTAAAATACAGATCTATATTTCATTTCTTTTTTTATACTTTCGTTGGACTACACTACATGAAGATCTGACCGGTTGTAGCGATAGGTCGCGTCAGAGGTCATACGAGCGGCCTTTGACCCTATGCCATCAGACATTTGATTAACCAATCAGCATTGATGTTACTAGTGGATTACCCACAGCTCCGTGCAAAACACACCTAAAGCTCGTCGTAATAGACCGTTTCATTAGTTAATACCTCACACCATCCAGAACACATCAAAGATAACAACTCTTCCAGATCCTAGTGTGGTAAAGACAAGTAAAACGAAATTTTGAACTATAAAAAAACAAAATGAAATAGGATCTGTGTTATAATCAGATTGATATTAAAATATATTTTCAGATAATGTCCTGTCTCCGTTTACCCAGTATGAATATTCTGTAACAGTATCGAACAATGCTGGTAGTCTTAGCAGCGACTATGTTGGTATTCAGACTCTATCAGCACCACCAGATGAAGTTCGACCTCCCAATGTTAGAGTTAATCCAGAACAACTGTATGCTGTCTATTTGAGTTGGGAAATGCCTGGTAAACCAAATGGTAAGTCTTGGTTAACCAGATAAAGATTAATTATTATGGCTGATTAATGGTCAACACCTTATATAAGCCAATTATGCTCAATGGATCATTATGGGAGATTAGATAAAGAGTTGACAGTTTCCACTATAATAGTTAAAAAAAATAGATAACGTAAAGAGAATGTGCTGAAAATTTCAGTCAAATTGCTCCACTCTGAACCGAAATATTAGCTTTTGAATTTTAGGCTAGCCTCGATCATCATTACTAAAGTCGATTCGATAAAAAACAAAATCTTGATTATTCATTTTTACGTTTAATTATATTCTCATTCGCTAAATATCGCAGGCTAGCGAGAGTTGATTATGGTTTGGATAAGTTAATTAATGTCAAATTAATAATTTAGATAAGATTTCAGGCCTTAAGAAAGACCTGCAATAGGCAGATTTAGCTCTTGCATAATGTATGTATAATTATCTTTCTCAAAATGTATTCGTCCTGACAAGGACAGCTGTCTAGTCCTTCGGATGAGACGAAAAACCAAGGTCCCGTGTATATATTGGAATGCACGTAAAAGATCCCCTGGCAGTTGGAATTCGATATAAGAGTAGGCGATAGTGCCGCTGCCCGGGCAAAATTTCCCTCATAGCACACTGTATGGCGTATGCCCGTCTTCATTAGCCCAGTATAGGAACAGAACAGTAGGACGTTCAACCCCATTTCATTTCATTTCATTTCATAATGTATTCCAGTCCTCTAGATATCGCAGGTTAGTGATGACATCGAGAGTTGATTATGATTTGGATAAGTTAATTAATGTCTAATTGATAATTTAGAAAACATTTCAGGCCTAAAGAAAGACCTGTAATATGCAGATTTAGCTCTTGCATAATGTGTGTTTAATGTACTAATATTTTGTTTTTTTAGGTGTAATAATACGTTATGTATTGAAGCGTGATGGTATAGAACTATATCGGGGTATGAATATGAAGTACATGGATGATAACAGTATCCTGCCGTATCAATCCTACACATATCAACTAACCGTCTGTACTATAGCTGGTTGTACCGACAGTAAACAGGTTCGTATCAAC